TCTTATGACATCAAGCTCTGAATTGATGTTCTTTTTTAAAAAGATTTTATTGGGGAAGAGGAACAGCCAAGTTGTTGTCCTTCAGTCTTAGTTGTGGAGGGCGCAGCTAGCTCAGCTCCAAGTCCAGTATCCAGCTGCCCGCAGCTGCTCAGCTCACGGTGCTGTGTTCAATCTTAGTTGGGGGGTGGAAGTGGGGGGCATGCAGCCCACCATCCCATGCAGGAGTCAAACTGGCAACCATGTTAGGAGCATGTGCTCTCACCAGCTGAGCCATCCTGCCACCTATTGGCAGCTCAGCTCGGGCGCAGCTCACTGGCCCATGTGGGAATCCAACTGGTGACCCTGCTGCTCAGAGCTCATGCTGTTAAGCTCTTAACCAACTGAGCCACTCGGCCGGCCCCCTAAAAGATGTTTCTTCAGAGGAGTGCAGAGCCAGCCTTTTCTGTTCATCTCCCTGTGGACCAGGGACTACATTCAGTTCCTGTGGGCTTACAAGAACAAACAAGATGGGGTCCCTTCCCCAGAGCAGCTGTCTGCCTGGGACGGAGAGATAACACCGCACACAGGCCCGTGGTTGTGCTGTGGTCATCAGCAGCGTCGGCAGGATGTGTCCCTGTGTGCTCACCACTGTCGCTTGGCAGCTTGCACTAAGGCTCCTGAAGCACGTAGGCAACACTGGTAATTGTTGAAATACCTTTAGGAGGAGAGGTTACTGTTTGAAGAGATTAGGGGAAGTTTCATGGATAAGGATTTGGAAATGCAGCAGTCAGGGAAGTGTGGAAAACCGTGGGCGAGTCCGAGTAGGGAATGGCTTGTTGGTGAAGAGAAGCCCGTAGAGGCTTGGCTGGAGCGAAGGGTCCTTGAAGGGGAAGAGTGGTTGATAGGGACAAAATACGGATTGGGGCCAACATCCTGGAGGGCCTTGAATGTGGAACTCAGAAGTGTGTAGAATTGTTCAGCTGGTGGGGCGGAGCTGTTGAAGATTTTTAAAGCAGAAGAGTGATGTGAACGTAGCTAGGCTTCAGGGGAGCTGGCTAACCTGCTGTGTGTAGGGTGGATAAGAGATTTGGGGGTAACCTGGGCCCGAGGGACCAGTGCTAAGGGAGTGGGGCAGCATGCTTGCTGCACGGGCAGGCAAGAGAAGATGGCAGTGCAGGGCGGAGTTAACAGGTGGAGGAGGCCCACGGGGTTCGGGAGGAGTTGGAGACAAAACGAGAAATGGCCAGTTGTCAGGGAGGACGGAAGTGCTGGAGATGGACATGGGAAATGGGGAAGGAAGGAAGGAAGGCAGTTGTGTGGGCCTGGGCAGGGTGTCGGGCTGGTCACGGGTGGGTGTGGGCTGGCTCAGCTACAGGATTTCTGGGGACTTGGCCCAGCTGGTGCTGAACTGTGGCCAAGCTGCCACTAAGGGTCGGGAATCCTGTGGTGGCCTTTTTTTATGTAGGGCGGGGGCGGGGGGAGAGATAAGAAACACATAACATTAAATTTACCATTGTAACTGTTTTTAAGTATACAGTTTGGCAGTGTTAAGTGTATTCCCAGTGTGCAACAGATCTTTAGAACTTGCTCATCTTGCAAAATTGAATCTCTATACCTATTAAACACTAATTCCTTATCTCCCCATCCCCAGCCCTTGATAACCACCGTTGTACTTTCTGTTTTTGATTTTGACTACTTTACCTACTCCATATGAGCAGAATTATCTAGTACTTACCCTTTTGTGGCTGGTTTATTTTGCTTAGCATAATGTCTTCAAGGTTCATTCACATTGTAGCATGCGTCAGAACTTGCTTTTGTGTTAAGTCTGACTAATACAGTAACAATTGTATGGATGGATACACCACATCTTCTGTGTGTGTATGTATATATATATATGTATATTTAAAAAATCGATTTGATTGAGGAATGCTTTACCTACAATCAGCTGTAACCATGGACAGTGCAATGAATGAGTTTCTGCAGCTGTATTACCCTGAAGCTACCAGCACCGTCACAGTAGAGAACATTTCCGTTACCACCAGACAGTCCTTGCTCTCCTTTACTGCCTGTCCCTTCCTCTCTTCTTCCACCCCTGACCTCTGACAACCACTGACGACCTTTTTGTCCCTATGGTTTAGTTTACGTTTTCTAGGATTTCACATGCGTGGAGTCATACAGTGCATACTCTTTTTATCTCTGGCTTCTTTCACTCGTGAGATTCTGTGTTGCGTGAAGCAGTTCATTTTCAGGAGACTGTTTCGCCTTCTGACTGTCCTTGATGGTCTCCCCATCTCCGGGGCTGTGTCCCTATCACCTCTGGCCTGGGTGCCTGTAATGGCCTCCTTTCATCTAGCCACTTACAGCTCCGTTTCCTGCAGCTGCCACAGTGAACCTCACAACAAGCACGCTGGACCGTGACCATGCAGTGCTCAGATGCATCCATGGCTTTGCATGATGCAGAGGCCCGAACCAACCCTGCGTGTGGCCTGGCCCCTGCCGTCCCCTCCAGAACCATCTTGCATCCCTCTCCCTTGCTGCCTGCATGGCCCTTACACTACACTTCATTTAGGCCTGTCCCCTTTTCTCTGTGAATAGGCAGTCCCCACATTATCTCTCCATGCCCCCCTGCACTGTAGCTTCACTTTTTATTTGTGGGAGCCTCTGATTGGCATCTGCCTCCCGGTGGCCATAAGTCCCAGGAGGTTGAGCTGCTCTTGCTGCCCCGTTTTTGTCTGTAGCGCCTGGCGCTTAGTAGGTACCCCAGTCATGACTGAGTGGATGAATGAGGCTGTTCTTTCCGGAGAGGGCTCTGTCCCTAACAGCTGCTTCCTGCACCCGTGTGCGCTGAGCCCTCTGTCTTTCTGGCATTGTCAGGATGAGCAGCTGAGGACCCTGGTGAGGCAGTTCGGACAGCAAGACTGGAAATTCCTGGCCAGCCACTTTCCTGTGAGTGCAGCCCCTCTGTGGCCCCCTCCCCCGGGGATAGGGTGCTGGGTGACCAGACAGTGTGCCTGGGACAGACTTGCTGCCAAGGAGAAAAGGGAGCTCCTTACAAGCCCTGCCCCCTCCCCAGGCCCTTTCTTCCAAAACTGGAAATCAGGGCACCCTGAGGCCCCGAGAGGAAAGCACCTCCACGCAGCAGCCTCAGCAGCCTTTAGGCTCTGGCATGGCGGCATGTGGTCAGTGGCATATTTGCATTTCTTCCTGTAAGTCAGGAGCAAATTGGTGCCTAGCTTCTTAACGTTGAGACTGAAACTAAGGGGAATCGATACTTCCAGCAGGTGTCACAGTGACACCCCCGCAGAGCCAGATGGTGCCACCACATCCAGCATTTAGAGTCCCCTGGTGATGCAGGCCTCCCTCGGATACCCCACTCTCAGGAGCGCGGGTATCTGGTCGGGGGTGTGTGTGGGGGTGTGTGTGGCAGAAGCTGCTGTCGGGCTTATTTCTTGTGTCACTCAGGGAGCTCAGGGACCAAGACCTTTTTTCCCCATTGCTCATCTCCCTCTTCCACGTGATCTGAAACCTTCAGGGAACTAACACTGCTCCCAGAAGCAAGCAAGGGTCCCTGTCATACCCCGCCAGCGTTTTGCAGGGGCTGAAAGGCCCACAGTGGCCGCCCCTGTATGTTAGGGTGGTGGAGGTGGCTCCCCACAGGGCTCTGAGTTTGTCCAGTTCCACCCGTGCCCTCTTGTAGCAACGAGAAACACACATGTTGTGGCTTGTGGGCGTGCAGTGTGTGGTGGGTGCAGGAGCAAGACGAAACCCATGTGAGGTGGGCCTGGCCCTAGGCCGCAGTCCCCTGTGCCCGGCGGTGCTCCAGGATCCCAGGCCGCCTTCCGCGTTCTCACACTTGACCGTCTTCCCAGAACCGCACTGACCAGCAATGCCAGTACCGGTGGCTGAGAGTCTTGAATCCAGATCTCGTCAAGGGGCCGTGGACCAAAGAGGAAGACGAGAAGGTAACTCCTGGGACAGTGCCTTGTACACAGTAGGCCTTCACCCATCCAGGAAACCAAGGGGCTTCGGGGCTGCCCCCATGGGGTTTGGCAGCAGGGGTCAAGCTGAAGGTCGTGGGTGTCATCCGCTGGTCAGTCAGTTGTACCTTTCAGGGCGGCGGTGAGGCTCAGGTGGAGAGAAGGTGCTATGGTGGTGGGGCTGAGGCAGGGCCAGGTCCGCTGGCTTCACAGAGGCTCATCTCCAAGGTCATCGAGCTGGTTAAGAAGTACGGTACGAAGCAGTGGACGCTGATTGCCAAGCACCTGAAAGGCCGGCTGGGGAAGCAGTGCCGTGAGCGCTGGCACAACCACCTCAACCCCGAGGTGAAGAAGTCCTGCTGGACCGAGGAGGAGGACCGCATCATCTGTGAGGCCCACAAGGTGCTGGGCAACCGCTGGGCCGAGATCGCCAAGATGCTGCCGGGGAGGTGAGCCGCCTCCTAGAGGCTTGGGGTCGGGGCAGGAAGGGTGCGGCTCCCAGGCGGTGAGAGCCTCGTGGGTGGTGAACATTCCAAGGGCCAGATTTCTCTGGAGTTGTTCACTCTTCCCAGAGATGTGTGAGTCCTCCCGTCTCTTGTCTGGGCCTGGCTGTAGGGAGAAGGGGCCTGGGGACGTCCAATTCCATGTGCAGGTTTTCATTTAGCCCCCACCTCAGCTCTGTGTGTGCACCATCCCTGCCCTCTGCTGTGGCCAGGGTCACCTGCTCCTCTTTTTCTAGAGAATAAGCCTCCCTCCTGCCTGTGAGGCCGAGGCCAGGAGCTGGACGTCTGAACCACTGCTCTGTTTTCAGCTGCTGCTCACTGGGCCTTGTCCTTCCAAGCCCTGAGCCTCCTGGGGTTCTGCAGGGAGCATTGGGAAGCCTTGGCTCCATGCTTGCCGGAATCTGCCTCCGGGTCAACTCTCCTAAGTGGCTTATTGCTCCCCTGACTGTTCTCCATCTTCTGGAAACTTCGAAAAGTCTCTTATTTGCTGCTGTCTTCCTCCCTGTCCTCTTTGTCCTGGTGCATTTTTACTTTTTTTTTTTTTAATCACAGCAGTGCGGTTCTGGGAGGGAGAGGAGCTAGAATATCATATGATGTCTTTCCCCTAATGTCTGGAATGGTCTGTTTTCAAAACTCAAACTCGAGCCTGGTATCCTTCAGGCGCTTCTCCTAACACTTGGGGTGAGGACTCAGTCGCCTTCCTCATGTGGCCCTCCGGCCCGGCCCAGGGCACCAGTCCAAGGCACTCGATCCAGCACATCCTTGATCGCCTGTCCCTCCGCTCGGTCCCTCCGACTCGGAGCCTTTCCCTAAGTGCCCCCGTGTGATGGCCTCCGCCTCACGCCCGTTGTGTAGCCAACACGTCCTCATCCTTCAGTTCTCCATGGGGGTGTCATTTCCTCAGAGAAACTTTCTCTGTCCTTCCAGACTGTGGTCGGTCCCCAGTGACCTTACAACAGTGCCCTGCCTGTCTTCTGAGCCGCTTGTATCCCAGTTACAATTAGACACGATGCCCGCCTCCCGGACTAGCATAGACTCTGTAAATGCAGCCGCCTGGCTTACTTGCCGGTGCACCCCCAGTGCCTAGAGCAATGCTTGGCACGTAATGGGTGCTCCATAAATATATGTGAACCCCAAAGGATGAGGTACATTAAAGCTTGGAACACCCCAGATCTGATCCTGCGGGGCCAGAGGGCTGGGAGGTGTTCTGGGTCAGTTTCCTTAGAAGCAGAGCCTGAGACACAGGTTAAGGTACCTGGGTTGATTGAGGACAGGCTGTCACCTGTGAGAGGTGACGTGCACAAGAATAGGGAAGGGGCCCAGCAAGACGGGGTCTCAGGTACAGTCTGGCCTTGACCTGATGATACATGGGTGTGTGTATCTGTGTGTCTGTCCCCTGAGGGCCGGCCGTGGGAGAGAACCAAGACACAGAGCCTCCTCTTAGACTGGGTGCTCAGTCAAGCTGTTACTCGGCTCATAATTCAAGGGAAAAGCACTCTGCTTGGAGCCTCAAAGAAGTGCCTCCTGTGTGTCAGCACTCCTGACACAATATTACTTCGTACTATTACTTAGTGAGCGGAAATGCTCTGTAAATTGTTAAGGGCTAGACACACGCGTGGCTTCATCTTAGAGTTCCTCAGGTTGAAACCTCATTTACAGAAGTGGCAGCTCGGCCCATGGAGGTTAGCGACGTGCCCAGTGGCACACGGGCCACAGGGCCAGGGCTCACAGGTCCCTTGTGTGTCCTGCAGGACGGACAATGCTGTGAAGAATCACTGGAACTCCACCATCAAAAGGAAGGTGGACACGGGAGGCTTCCTGAATGAGTCGAAGGACTGCAAGCCCCCCGTGTACTTGCTGCTGGAGCTCGAGGACAAGGACAGCCACCAGAGTGTCCACCCTGTGGAAGGCCAGGTGAGGAGCGCCCAGGTGCTCAGCCTCCGGGCGTCGCTCTGGGTTGGTTGGTTGGTTGGTTGGATTGCACGTTTATCCAGCACCGTCTCATTTAACACCTGTGCTCCCTTCTTAACCTAACCCACAAGTGTTCGTTAGTTCCTGCCACCGGGTCTCGGTGTGGCCGTGTGTCTCTGACTGGGACCTTTCCTTGTCGCACACGTCTGCACCTACCTGGCACTTGTCTGCCTCCAGGCAAAGCATGACAGAGCAAGCTGACATAAAATTGACGCCTGTCCTCAGCCTTCGTCCTTAGCAACAGCTCTTTCCTACCTGTTGCTCTTTTCAGCTTTTTCATACTAAAAGCAGGCTGGCAATTAAAAAAAAAGTCAGGTTTATTGAGGTGTAATTCCCATACAGTAAAATTCATTGTGTTTTAGTGTACAGCTCTGAGTCATGACAAAAACGTGACCAGTTCTGAATCATGTAACCAGCACCACAATCAAGATACAGAACATTTCCATCACCCCCAAACTCCCTGGTGCCCCTTTTCATCTGCCCTCCTCCCACCTGTAGCCCCAGCAGCTCTCACCTGTTTTCCATCTCTGTAATTTGAATATGGTTTTCTAGAATGTCATTTAAAATGAAATCATTTGGTGTTTTGCTTTGCAATTGTAAAAATGGAATCAACATGCAGATGTTACCATGTCCCGTCCCACACCCTGGAGCAAAGTTGTTGATATTTTTAAAATGTATCTCATGATTCTTAAAAAATGATTTGAAGCAAACGTGTCAAAAGGTAAATAGCTGACGGTGTCAGGTATGTGGTAACACCCGTCTCCACTGTTTTTTGATCTTTTCTGTAATGAGCTTTGAATAATTTTTTTTCTGCTCCCCTTCCCTTACAGGGGACTAGATATAACTTGTTCACACAGTTCCTGGCTGGAGCGTTATATAATGTTTTTGCCTCTTATTTCTTGATTTTTTTTTGGTTCAGAGAATATCTCTTGATTCCCTGCTACAAATGCACCTCTGGGGTAACAAATTTAAATAGAGAAAGGTATAAAATGAAACAGAAAAGCGACTTCTTCCTCCAAATTGGACTCACCACGCGTCCCCCACCCAGAGGAGCCTACTTCTCATGCTTTCTTGTATATCTAAGGAATATGTTTTCAATCCTTTTACTTTTGATTGAAGGAAAAACATGCATGCCATAAAGAGAAACTGGGCATCAGCAAATACAGAGAAGTCAGGATAGGGCATGAAACCAGAGGCCAAACTGAGTCCGCGGCGGCTCAAGCTGCCTGCCTGCCTGCGCGGCTCCAATAGACTGACACAGGAGCTGGGTCATAGAATTAACCGTCAATTATCGGTCAATTATCAGAGCACCGGTGGTCTGAGAAGGCAGCAGGCAGCCGGTTAACACCTCCAAAAACTGCCTTCACATTCTTAGTCCAGCTTGGTGTATTTAAGGGAAAATCGAGGCCTTCCTCTAAATAAAGGCTACGTGACCTGCATGGAGCCTACCCTCTGGCCATGTGGTTCTCTGGTAGAGCCAAAGCAAAGCGACCCAGGAACAATGATGGTATTAGTCTGGAAAGAAGGCTAGACCATAGAGATTGTGATCAGTTAGCCTAAGGGTATTAATCATAAGCTTCAGGGTAATTTTCTAAAACGGAACTGGGTGGGAAGGGAAGTCCAGCTCCAGCGCAGGGGGTTGATTACCGTTAAGCTAGAAGTAGGTCAAAGAAAGGAAGCTGGGGACATGGAGAGACCTACTGTGGGGTTGCCAACCAGGCCCTGCTTCGGGCAGAGTGGACAGACCTTCCCTAGTCTCTGAAAATCCTATGTGGCTGAAAGTCAGTTTATGACTTGGTTTTTGTCCCCTGGCACTTTGTGTCTGGAGTGCTGGCTGGTGCCAGGCAAGGATGAACTGCAGGTCAAAGCCAACCCAACCCCGCTGGCTTCAGCCACTCATCATTTTAATGGTTCTATTGTGTTGCTTATTTATTTAAGGTTATATCTGATTTTTTGTTACTAGAAAAGAAAACTGATGACTGACCTTGTAGTTAAATCACTGCTCCTTCACTCAATTATTTCTTGAGAAATTCTTAGAGCTGGATAGTCACACTCTTAAAAAACTTAATACATTTTCCTAGATTGCCTACTAGAAACGTTTGCCTTGCAAATGTGGAGATGGGACCACCTCCTGTTTTCCCCACTCACTGCAGCTATAAATGCCACCCCGGGCTTCAAAAATAATACACGGTCACTGTAGAGTTTAAAACTTGACCGAATTAAACAGTGCAGGGGGCCAAGCCTGCTAATCTCAATTTCCTGAGAGAACCAATACATTGTTTAGCATATTGGTCAACACTTAACTGCTAAGGGTAGTAAGTTTAAAATGAGAAGATGTGATAGCTCACTATCTCACACGTTTCTTTTTCTGCTTCTCTCTTTCCATGTTGTGTGTATATAGACTGTTCTTGAATCTGTCGTATCTGCTATTGATGAACATCTGTCACCATAGCCATCAATATGCTGCAGTGAACGTCACTGTTCAAATTCTTTGTACACGTACCTATTTATGTGGGTTAATTTTACCCACAGATAAGGAATGACTCAGTCCAATAGTGTGGACTTCGGAATGGTCATAAGCATGGCCAAATTGTCACCCAAGGGGTTACACCGTTTTATCCTGTCAGCAATGCATGGGACTGCCTGCCTGCCCACACCATTGTCACGACTGGCTGTGATTATATAAAAATGTCAGTTTTATGAGCTACAATGGAATACCAGTTGGGTTTGATTTTTTTTTTTTTACTGCTAGTGAGGTTGACCTTTTTTCCTTGTTTATTGATTTTATTGATTTGCCTTTTTGTCTTTTTTTCTCATTGATTTGTAAACTTGTATTTAAGTGTTAAGGATAGTACCCCTTTATCATGTACTAATTTTTTCCCAGCTTATTGGTACCTTCCTCATCCCTTCATTTTATAAAGGTATAATTTACAGCCAGTAAAAGTCACCCATTTTAGTAGACAGTTCCGTGAATTTGGACAAATGTACCCATCACCACAATTTCCATCACCCTCTGAAAATTCCCACATGTGGCCAACCCCCCCCCCCATTGTCTCCCCCAGTTTCTGGTAACCATTTACCTGTTTTCTGTCTCAACACATTTTTTTAAGAAAGTCGCATAAATGGAGTTCCATACAGCTGTACTCTTCTGTGTCTGGTTTCTTTGGCTTGGCATCATGCATTTCAGATTTATCCATGGTTTGTTCCTTTTTATTGCTGTGTGCTGTTTTGTTGTATGGCTGTACCACAGTTTATCTGTTTACCAGCTGAGGGACAGTGTTTCCAAGTAAAGCTTCCATAAACGTCTGTGTACAGGATTTTTGTGAACATAACTTTTACTTTCTCTCGGGTAAATATCTAGGAATGGGGCTGCAGGGTCGTATGATACATGTATTACCTACCTTAATAAATTGCCAAACAGTTCTTCAAAGTGGCTTTTTTCCGAGGCAGGATTCCCACGTTGGATTCCCCCAGTGTTGATGACATTTTCCTCCTCCTTTGGATTGTAAGCTTTTAATCATATCTTTTCTCCTTTTCTTCCTTTGCTTGTGTCACAAACCATTTCCATCTTGGCCACTTGACAACGACAGCAATAATAGCCAGTATTTAGGTTGGGTGCTTTACAACCCCCTGCAGGGCAGCTTTAGTGTCTGCATTGTCCCCGAGGAAACGGAAACTCACAGGTCCCGCTGCCTGCCCAAGGTCGGCTCATAAATGCAAAGCTCTGTCTGAATCCGGGCTCGGCTCTCTCTGCAACGCCACTGCGCCCCTGTTAACACGGACCTTGCTCCCTGCTCCCCACGTGGCCCCCATTAATCACACGTGCCGTTTTCAGGGCTGCGCTGGGGTCTGTCAGGCTAACCTGTCAAGCCTCTTTCCAAGGTTCTGCCAGGAGAGCTATTGCCACGAAGGATTTTTTTTTTTTGTCACAAAATTAGTGTACCCTCATTTGTCACACTTTCACTTTGACATATATTAAGCATACAGAAAAGTTGCAAGAATAGTACCAAGTCCTCTTCTATACCCTTTACTGGATACATTGGTTTTTAACATTTGCCAGATTGGCTTTCTCTTTCTATAGATGCATATTACTTTTTTAAAAATCTGAGTCATTTGAGGGTCAGTTACCGACATTGTGCCTCTGTATCTGTTAATATTTCGGTGTGTGTTTCCTAAAGACAGAGGCATTCACGAACATAACCGCAGTACAGTTCTATCCAGTTCAGGGAATTTAACACCAGCTCAGGATTGTTATCCAAAATCTACAGTCCATATTCCATTTTTCCCCACCCCCTGGATCCAAACCAGGATCAGTCATTGCCTTTAGTTGTCATCTCTTTCATTCCCTTTTATCTTGAACACTTCCTGAGCCTTTCTTAGTCTTTCACGACTTGGATATCTTCGAAGCATACGGTAAGGCTGGTTCATTTAGAGACTCCATTTGGGTTCATCCGAGTTTCCTTATTCGATTTGGGGTTGTGTGTATTTAGCTGGAATACGCCATAGTCTGTGTCTCATAACAAAAACTCGAGTGTCCCCTTGTGTCCCACAGGGAAGTCTTGTGACCAACTGGCCCCCAGCGCTCCCTGCCATGAAGGAAGAGGAAAGCAGTGAGGAAGAGGCCATGGCAGCTGTCTCTGCTAAGGAACGGGACGCTGTCTCTGAAGAGCTGGATAGAGTGCACACCCCAGAGCCCTTAGACGACATCCGCAAGCGTGATGAGCAGGAGGGCTCCTCGCCAGAAGGCAGCCTGCCCTACAAGTGGGTGGTCGAGGCCGCAAACCTCCTGATCCCGGCTGTGGAGTCCAGCCTCTCGGAAGCCTTGGACTTGATTGAATCGGTAATGGTGGCAATAGCGCATCCCACTGGGCCCAGAGTGCCCCTCCCAGCAGGGCGCCCTCTGATGGGTGGGCATCCTTCCGTTCACTCATCCCAATGACGTTTCCTGAGCTGATGCTAAGTGCCCAGCCTGCAGCCAGGACCTGGGGATAGTGAGATCATTGCAGTCTAGTCCCTGCCCTCACGGAGCTCCTGACGCACATTGTACCTCACAGCGTGGGGTGGGAGGGCTCCCCAGAGGAGGTGGCACTGGAGCTGCGTCCTTGACGGTGACGGGAGAGTGTTTGAGGCCTGTTACACGGTACGGTTGAGCTTGGTGTTTGCGGCACCACGGACCGTTGGGTGTCCTAGGATGGGGCCTGGATCATGCTGGGGCTGGCGCTGGTGAGCGGGTTCTGATTTCTCAGGTGTTGCGGGCCAGGCCCTGGGGCCGAGCTGGCTGTGGCTTGTGCTCCTGGCAGAGTTCTGTGGTAGGAAACCACCTCTTGGTGTGACATCCCCAGGTGCATCAGGCAGGCCCGTGGTGTGGAACGGGTCTCAGGAGGTAGTGGGCGAGAGGCCTGGCCACTAGGGGCAGTGGAATTCGGTGGGGGGGTCGCGCCCGCATTCGCCTTCCCACTTGGCCGTCCCTCCTTGCTAAACATAATGACAAGCCAGACTCTGAGCTTAATGTACAATCCACCCAGTATTCTGTGAGGTGTGTCCTTTCTGTGTTTCGTAGATGTGACTGGGGCTCAGAGGTCAAGTCGTGTATCCAAGGTCACACAGCAAGTAAGCTTGGTAGTCTTGACCCTGATGCTATGCTCTCACTGTCTTCCTCAGTGTGGGATTGGATGATACCATCTCCGGGGGGCCATCTCTCAGTCCATCTGACGCTGGGTTTCAACTCTTAGCGTCAGCTACAGGGTCCATCTGGAGTGTCCCTTCCACTCTAAGGAACTTCGGAGCAGCTTGAGAAGCAGGTCTGATGTGTTCATCAGTCTGTGCAGCAAATAGCCCCGAGGCTGCCATGTTCAGTCCCTCCTTTGGGCTCTCGGGAGTGCGGAGATGAGAGTTGGGCCCACTCTGCGCCCGGCACTGTCCATCCTCAGACTGTTCTGTGTCTTCCTCTACTTGATGGGCACAGAGAAGGGGAGAGGGGAACTCACTTTTATTGAGCACCCAGTGTATGCAAGACCCAGTGCTTAGTTAGTAATTACAGTGTCTAACATTTGAGCGCCTGCCATGTGTTGGGCTTGCGACTTGCTACCTACATCCATGCTCTGTTAGTCCTTCAACAGCCCTGTGAAGTGGGTGGCGGGCTCATCACCAGTGAGGGAATCGCGAGCTCAGCAGAGGTCAGGAGGCTGGTCCACCATCACAGAGCTGGTGAGGGCCAGGCCCAGGCCCTGCTGGTTGGCTCGAAGCCGGGGCTCTTGCACCATGACCTGCAGCGGCCGATGGAGTTGAGTTGTTATACCATTTGCAGAAATGCTGCTGTTGGTCTCTTTCCTGCAGCACCTCTGGGCAGTCCTTGCAGGATTTTTCTGGTCTATTAGATGCCATCAGTTCTGGGGCTTCCCCCAGGTTGGGGTTCGCTGCTGGGAGTGTGGACCTGAAGTCAGCACTGCCCTGAGCTGGCCCTTAGGAACGAACTGCCCCAGGTTCCTACGAGTCCCGTGGGTCAGAAATCATCACTTAGGGGCACCTGGGTCTATTCAGGACCAGACCTCCAGGGACCAAAATGGAAGGCTTCTAATTTGCTGAGCAAGACCTGGGTATGCCTCTCGGGATTACTCTTAGCAGGTCACACCCTTTCTGGTCTGGCTTCCTTAGTACCAAACGGGGGAGTATTGCTTTCCTAGCAGGGTCGTTGTGGGATTGGAAATAGCTTCAGTGAAAGGGCTGAGGGGGCACCCGTGATTGACAGTCTCTCAGAGCACAAGCTCCGCCTCCTCTCTGGAATGTGGCCGCGCAAATCAAGACCCTTAAACCCAGGGACAGCGTTGGGCCTACAACTCCCACTTCTACCACTCTATTAAGAAAATAGCTAAAAATACAGAAGATTTCTAAGATGTTCATAGACATTTTTAAAAATTAGGGGGAAAACTAAATGTCCAACAGAAGGGGGATAGTTAAGTAACTGATAGTCATATGATGAAATATTTTGCAGTTATAAAACTTACTACTTTTAAAGATTTTATTGGGGAATTGGGGGAGGGGAACAGCCAAGTTGTTGTCCTTCAATCTTAGTTGTGGAGGGTGCAGCTAGCTCAGCTCCAAGTCCAGTCGCCATCCGCCTGCCGATCAGCAGCTCTTGGTTGCTCGGCCCAAGGTGCCGTGCTCAATCTTAGTTGTGGGTGGGCGTAGCTCACCATCCCATGCGGGAGCTGAACTGGCAACCTTATTGTTAGGAGCATGTGCTTTCACCAGCTGAGCCATCCTGCCACCTGTTGGCAGCTCAGCTTGGGCGCAGCTCACTGGCCCATGTGGGATTCGAACCGGTGACCCTGTTGCTCAGAGTTTGTGCTCTTAACCAACTGAGGTACTCGGCCAGCCCCATAAAAACTATTATAAAAGTTGAAAAATTTTTCATCATAACTGATATTTATTAATAGTAAACATTTAACTCATAGGTAATAGAATTAGGTACTATTATTCCTGCTTTACCGAAATTTTAAATGGAACAAAGCAAGATACAGAAATGATTTATACCATGATGAGAAACATGCAAAACACTAGACATTTAGGGACACGTGGTAAAATGCTAAATGAGTGCACAAGGATAGTAAATTCTAAATTCTGGTAGTGGTTTCCTACCTATAGGCAGAGGATGTGAGGGGAGGTGGACACAGGGCTTCAGTGATAAGGTTTTATTTCTTTGGCTTATTGTTGGGTATCTGGCTTTTCTTTGTGCTCTTTGTATCTTAAATGGTACACGGAACATTTTTGAAATAACTGAGCAAGCAGTCATATTCACAGCCTGTTATATTTACAAAGATAGATACACAGACGTCAGAGAATCCTTGAGAAAATGTTAATGTTTGTTCCTGGGCTGTGGGGTTGTACTTGACACTCACGTGTTTTCCTGTGATGAGCGAGTCCTTGTATCAGCTGGTAGAAAAGCAGAGTAATTACAGTGACTCCTAACCCCTCTCTCGGGCAGGACCCTGACGCTTGGTGTGATCTGAGCAAATTTGACCTCCCCGAGGAGTCGTCTGCAGAGGGCAGCAGCCCCGTGCAGCCCCAGCCATCGCAGCAGCAACAGCAGCCGCCGCCGCCACCCCGCCAGCCTGCTGCCCCTGGCTCCAGTGTGACCGAGTACCGCCTGGACGGCCACACCATCTCGGACCTGAGCCGAGGCAGCCGCGGCGAGCTGATTCCCATTTCCCCCAACACTGAAGTGGGGGGCTTGGGCATTGGCACGCCGCCCTCTGTGCTGAAGCGGCAGAAGAAGAGGCGTGTCACCCTGTCCCCCGTCACAGAGAACAGCGCCAGCCTGTCCTTCCTGGACTCCTGCAACAGCCTCACCCCCAAGAGCACACCTGTCAAGACCCTGCCCTTCTCGCCCTCCCAGGTGTGTGGACCCCTCCCCGACCCCTCACTGGGTTCTCTTTACCCAGCACAGGGCCTGGCATGCAGACATGCCATTCATTCAACATGCACTCATGGATTGCCTGCTGTGTGCAAGGGCTGGGGACGAAGGGGTGAGCAGAAAGAGGCCTGGCCCTGCCCTCACAAAGCTTCCATTCTGGCAGGAAGACCAGTTAATGAAAAAAAGACCAAACAAACGTGATCAGTGGAGTGAAGGAGGCTTATGGGGCTCCCCGTGCGTCTAGCCTGGGGGGCAGGGTTTCATCCAGGAAGTCTTCCATGAGGAGGAGGAATTGCTTGAGCTGGGGATACCTGTGCAAAAAAGGGAAGGGACTCTGTTTGTTAAAAGAATCGTTTACTGAACACCTACTTCATGCCAGGTTTGCCTGCACAGGGAGCAAAGGTAAAGAGGACAGCTGGTGTTGGGGAAGGGCTTGTAATGAGCTGATGAGAACGTAGCATGGCAAGTGCTCTGAGGATGGCGATTCCTAAGTCACTGAGAGCTTAGTGTGTTCTGAGTGCTGCTCAGGAGGTCAGGGGAGGCCTCAGGCTTTCTGGAGAGCAGAGAGCAAGCGTCTGAGCTGGGTTTTATCATCAATTGACTTGAACAAAGACAGGCACAGAGGCGGGGAGGGCAGAGTGAGAGGTGTGATGTCCAATTACGAGTGATGGGTCGGGGGGCAGGATGGGGATAGGGCCTTGGAGGGCCTTGGGCATAACGGAGGGATACGCACTGCCCTGGGAGCTGTAGATGGCTGTCTTCTCCGTGTGTCTTCACATGGTCTTCCCTCTGTGTGTCTGTATCCTAATCTCTATCTTCTCATAACCTCTTTCTTCTTAGTTTATAACCCAAGGGCACCAGTGATAATTGGATCAGGGCCCACCCATGTGGCCCCATTTTACCTGAATCATCTCTTTAAAGGCCTTATCTCCAAATACAGTCAAGTCATGTGACTTCAACGTGAATTATGGGAGAACGCAGTTTAGCCCCTAACAGTCACCGCAGTTTAGCTCCTAACAGTCAACCGCGTGAGGACTGTTGGCTGGAGAAGGAAGACGGTAGAGCCCTGAGCTGGCCAAATAGCAGCCCAGGACGATGGCATGGTGGCTGCCCTGCTCTGAGGACCCCACATAGGGCAGCGAACCTACCAAGGGCACCTTCAGGACAGAGACCCGGAGAGGGTAGTGCGTCAGACTTGGCTAAGATATGGATTTGAGTCCTCAAGCATTCAGCACAAGAATCTAAATTCCTGTAAACCTCGGTTTTCTTATCGAAAAATGCAATCTAATAGTCCCTACCTCTCAGAGGTCTGAAAACTCCACAAAATTCTTGGCGGGGAGGGCTTGGCCCCTATAGGAGAAAGTGCTCTCTAAATGTCAACATCTACACTGCCATCATCACCGTCCCCTGTCCATCACAGGTCATGGAAGAGATGTTCCCACAAGGTCAACATTCTTTGTCTTAAGTGCATTGTCAGCAGCATGTGGGGCTGGGAGGTGGACCTCCCAACAGCCTGGCAAAAGCAGGGTATTGGGGCGATGACAAGTGCAGGGGTCCAGATGAACCTCCTTGGTGGGTTCCTGCTGACCTGTCCCGGCCCTGGTCCTCTGGTGCCTGACTGGTGGGAGGGCCCCTAGATCAGGAGGGGACCTCTGTCAGAGCAGCCATGATCGGGGAGGGTCTCGAGGGTCTCAGCTCACCCCACAGGTCACCACTTCGTTTTGTTTCCTTTGTGTTCCCTGGTAGTTTCTAAACTTCTGGAACAAACAGGACACGCTGGAGCTGGAGAGCCCCTCACTGACGTCCACCCCGGTGTGCAGCCAGAAGGTGGTGGTCACCACGCCCCTGCACCGGGATAAGACGCCCCTGCATCAGAAACACACTGCGTGAGTCCCGTCGTCGTGTGTGTCCCCCCACACCCCAGGAGTGTAGGAGGACCCGCCCCTGCCCCCAGCAGTGGCCAGCCTGGTCGGGGCCAGGATCACTGGGTAGGGAAGACGCCCTTGGAAAAACACCTGAGACTCTTTGTTTCAAGAAAGTGGCCTTCTGGCCACCACACCTCATTTTTGTCAGCATAGCCTGGTACTTTACCATCGTCCTAACCCATTTTTATTTTTTAACCCTCTGTCGGGCGCAGTGCAAAAGGCACAACGAGTTTGGGCGCAGTGCATCTACTAGATGCGTGTATGACATTTATTTAAATTGAAAATGAATGAAAATGTGTAAGCATGCTTATTATTTATTCAGAATGAAACATGAATTTGCCACAAAGTAAAAGCAATGTATGTTTATTGCATAAATTCAGTATAAAAATCAACAGAAATTCAAAATAATCTGTGAGATCAGTTGCGCCCCGGTGGAGGGTTAATTTGGTGGTTTTCTGATCTCAGGAATGGAGAGAGTCCAAATTGCCATGACAAACTTAATCTGTATACCCTTCATACGTTTCAAGCACACATCGCCTGTGTTTGAGTAGTCTTACGTGAAGGCCAAACCAGTTCTCCAGTCAGGGCTGGAGCTGCCTCCCTGCCTCCCAGGCCTACGAAGCGCAGCGCCTCACCTTCCGAAGCCTGTGCAGGTTGCTCACCTGTGGGCTTCTATGGAAGGGCTTTCACAGTAACTTTCCTTCCTTGTGTCGCCGTGACTCTGGATTCCAGGTAGAGAGAGTTACTTCACTGTGCTTCTGCTTATTACATTTGCTGCAGAAGCAGCACTGCCATTTATTATTTCACAAGTAAGTTATGTGATTGGAATTTCAACCCTCGCAACGATCACGCATTTCAGAAAAAGATGTATGAATCCCTTGGTCAAAAATCAGTCTCTCAACAGTTGACCTGGAATTTGACAATAGATAGGTTTCGTGTTTGGAAACATTTCAGCCATTATGTCTTCAAATATTTTTTCTGGGTCTTCTATCCCCAGTCCTCTTTGGGGGCTCCGCAGTTACCCATGTGTTAGGCCACTTGACGTCCCCGCTTACTAATGTTATAATTTTTTAAATTCGTTTCATTTTGGATGGTTTCTATTGCTATATCTTCATCTTTTCCTCTGCCACATCTAATCTTTCAGGAATCCCATTCAGGGCATTTTTCATCTCAGGTATTGTATTTCCTTCTCTAGAAGCTGAGTTGGATCTTGTTAAACATCCTCCCTGTCTTTATTTTTTGAACATAAATGAAATACAGCTGTAGTAACTTTTAATTTCTTGGCGTATTTTAGCATGAGTGTCAGTTCTGGGTCCGTTTCAGTTGATGGATTTTCCCTCGCATCATGGGTCTTGCTTGACTTGTTGTTTTCTGCTTCTTCATGTGCTGGGTAATAGCTGACTTGGTGCCAACGGGAGTTCTTTGTTGGATGCTATATACTTATGTATTCCTATAACTGTTTTAGAGCCTTTTCTGCAATGCACTTCAGTTTTTTAGAAATAGTTTGCTCCTTTTGGGTCTTGGCCCTTAAGATTTATGAGATGGGACCAGAGCAGCGGTTAGTTTAGGGTCCTTGGATCCCCGACCCGCTACCTTGTGTGGATGGTGAGGGTTTCCAGCCTGGCTAGGGGGCCTGAGCTCTGTTCCATCCCTGTGAGCGTTGTGCGTTGTTTCCTCTGATTTCCAATGGTTCTTCCTGGTCTCAGCACACGTGTGCACAAATCAGTGCCCTGCCGGGTACCTGAGGAGGGGCTCTGCAGTGTCTTCACCTCAGGACCCCGCCCTCTTCCCCCACACTCCTCCCCCCACTGGGCTGTGACTCGGTGCTGCCGGCTCCCCTGTTTGTCTCCCATCTCTCGGGTCACTGTCTTTCATTGCCTGATGTCCAGTGTCTTGAGAACCCATCGTTTCATCCATTGTGTTATTTTTGTTGGTGTTTCAGGCGGGAGAGTACACCTGGTCCCTGATGATCCCTTTTGGCCAGAAACGGAAGTCAGCTGCTTCATCTTTAAATTATTGTCACAACAGACTTTTTTTGGGGGTTTTCGTATTTTCTCTTTCTAAATTCTTTGTGACATTTGCAGCGCTTAATAGGCAACAATTCTTGGGACTTAATTCCAAATTTGGTTTCCTTGCCCGCTGATTTTTATATCCCCAGTTTTCCCCCCCGATAGAAGTTAGGGTTTATTGGAAGGGACGGTTCATTAGTAAACAAACCAAACACAGTCAGTAGATGGGATTGCAGGTGGTTATGGAAACTACAGGGAGATTACACAGGCCTGGGGAGCACAGAGTAACGACGAGGGGTTTCCCATTTATTAATAGATAGGTCAGGGACTGCCCCTCGAGAGGAAGAATTCTGAGGAGGAGGAATTCCAGGTAGATGAACCACAAAGGGTCCAAGGTGGAAACATGCTTTTGTGTTTAAAGAACAAAAATAAGGCCACTGTTTAGAGTGCATTGGGTGTAGAGAAGAACAGGAGAGAGAGGTGAAGGGTCACCAGGGCCCTCTGTGTGTGTGTTTGTGGGGGGGGGAGTATTGGGGAGAAAGGCTGGGTTAAGCTGTGTCACACACACCCCTAAGATTTGACTGGCTCCTAAGAGCAAATCTTTCTCTTTTAAAATGTGTGGGTAATTTTTTTGTTTTGTTTTTTTTCTGAGTTAGATGGAGTGCTTTTCTGCTTTCTTTTCAGAGGGGAGGGGGTGAGGCCTGTGCTTTCTGAGGCCTGGACTGTCTGTCCCTTGTTTTTCAACAACAGGAGCTGGATGTAGAAATCGGAGGAAGAGTAGTGACCCTCTAAGCTGTGGACTCTGCTCTTTTTCTTCCGGCGCTTATGTTGTGGGGAATTCCGACACTTAGCCGGCTGTTATTTCTTTGTAGGAAATCTTTTTTCCTCCCTGGACCCTTGTCGGGATTGTTCGTTTTATTTTTGGTGTTTCAGTTATTCCTGAAATTTACCAGGCTCTATGTAGGTATGCTATCTCTTTGTTAACCCCGCCCCCCGCCCCCAATTTCATTTCAAACGCAATACTAGACGTGGAGCTGAGCAAACGTGCTGCTATTTCTTTCATTCTTGTTTCCCTGATGTCTCTGCCCCTTGCCTCCTACCTTAGGAATTCCTTCCTACCCAGGCTCCTTGGTCTGTCTCTTTTCATCTTCATATTCCTATTCATCGTCTTAAGCCGTTTCCTTTGAACTCTGTGAAAATGTCATTTCCTCTCATTCATCAACTTGGTTTTCTGCAGCTCCCCACCTGCCGAGTCCCCTGGCTTCCAGAATTGCTTTCTTTTTTTTTTTTTTCATTTCCAAGCCATCTTGTGTATTCCCTTTGCAAGTTGGCCTCCCTTGGTTTTCTGACATGGATGTATTATTCTTAGTGCTTGCTGATGCTGTGACTTAGAGAGGTTCTAGCGTTTTCTCACGTTTATTGCAAAAGCTCCGTGTCCCCCAGAGATGTCGGGCCCGCAGTTCAGATTCATCCCTTGGAACCGCGGTTTGAACCGCGAGGTGTTGACGTTTGACCAGTGTTGACCCGTCTTTGCTCATCCTTTTAGAGGGGTCTCTATGGGTCCCGGGGCGGAGATAACAAGGGTATGGGAACAGAGTGTGTGGGTCCCTGTCTAATCTCTCAGTCCGGAGGAAGGAAGAAAACAAGGGTTTGTACTTGCTCTAGCTGCTGCTTTCCCTGTGGAAGGCCGGGCAGGCCGAGGGAGGCGACTGGGACGGCAGCCCCAGGCAGCCGTGCCCAGGAGTGGCCTCTGCTGCTGAATTCCTGGTCACCGGGGGTGTTTCTTATGTCCTCGGACCTCCCCAGTAAGGCTTTGGGAGTCCGCTATGGTGGTGCCTCCCGTTGTCTGAAGTCACACAGGTCTTGTGCAAGCAGAGTTTTGCACTTGCCATCAGAGCCAGAGGTGGCCCACAGCCAGCTGAGTGCCTGCAGCCGTGGTGCTTGGGGTTTGAGGGACCTCTTCTGTCCTTTTACCAGCATTGCAGGCAGAGATCACACATTGCTGGGGCCACATCTTAGTATTTCTGCTTGTGCACCAGACCCTCCCGAGGTCTCTGCTAAAGCTTTTCCTTCCATGTTTCTGTTGCCCCTGTGACCGTTTTGAGGCGACTTGGGAAGTGGGTAAGTTAAGCACGCACGTTGGCCTCACTGTGTCACACCTGATGTCGGCCCTGCCTCTCCTTAATGACACTGCTGCCACTGGATCTCTGGAGAGAGGTGGTGGGAGGGACGCGGTATTCCCAAGATTCCCGCCTTACCTCCCCTCCCCCCCTTCGGTCCCTTTCTCGCCAGCCACAGGCCTTTCCTTGTGTCATGAAAAGTCCTCATTCTAGACTGACGACCACCCAGCATTCTCAGCTGTTCTTTCACCTTTCCTGGGTCTCCTGGACCCTCTTAGCTTTTTCTTGTTCTTTCCTATTTGCCAGGGAGGCCCCTTCCTCTCAGCCCCTAATTGAGACCCTTGTGGGTAGTGTAATGGGTGGGCAAGTGGGCAAGGAAGAGAGCGTGTGCCGGCGTTTCCTTCCTGCTGCTGAGGCCAGAGGTCCAGGTGGCAGGAGGGTGGGAGAGTGGCTGGTGTCTGCCCCCAACCCCATCCCCAAGCCTCCTTCTCTGGCCCTGGCAGGTTTGTATCCCCAGATCAGAAGTACTCCATGGACAATACTCCGCACACGCCGACCCCATTCAAGAACGCCCTGGAGAAGTACGGACCACTGAAGCCCCTGGTACGTGGTGGGGTCTCCTGGGTTCCTCCAGCCGCGTGCACTTCCCAGAGCCCTCTTCCTCTGAGAGCTCACTGGAGTCTCCCAGCAGCCCCGAGAAGTTGCCGATATCTTCATTTTATAAGTAGGGAAACTGAGGCTGAGTTATCTACCAAGTCATCAGTTCCTGAGCACCTGCAGTGTGCCAGGCGGGTGCTGGCTGGTGCTGGAGACACAGTGGCATCCTATTAATAAATAACCAAGTACTACCAGTGCATGGGAAGTGCTGGGAAGGAGACGGGCTCGCTCAGATGCTGTGGCCAAGTGGGGGAAGTGGCGAATTGCTCCTCTAGTTAGGCGAGTTGCCTAACTGCTCGCTTTTACAAAACACTGGGAAGCCACTCGTGGGTGGGGTTGAGATGGCCAGTGAGGAAGCACCTTCCCCGGCACTATGCCAACCTCCCCGCTCCCCCTCCTCACGATTCATGAGATGGTTTTCCAGAGATGAGAGCTGGCACCTTGGGTATTTAAGAAACTGGTTGAAGGTGAGAGAAAGGCTGGTCACAGAGGAGCACTGGACCTGTGAACAAAGTCGGCTGCGTGGTCCCCTCACTCCCTCTCCCCTCACACTGCGTGGGGTCCTCGTGGGAAAGCCTGACAGCGGGGCTGTGGCCTCCCCCACCCTCTGGTAGAGCTGATTGAGGTCAATGGGCCCAGGCCAGGTGCCAGTTAGACTCAGCCCTGCCCTTGCCTGTCCAAGGGGAACTCGGCTCCGAAATCCACGTGCTCTCCAAACAGGTGTGAGGGTGAACCTGACCTTGGCAACTATAAGGAAAGCGCACAGGGGCTCTCAGAGTGACCTGAGGTGTCACTGTCCTGCTCCGTAGCGCGCGCTCTCTTCTGGCCTGAGACTGGAGAGGTCACCTGGAATCCCCAAGCATCCCCCCGAGTGGAACAAAAGGGTGAAGGAGTTCAGGCTTCGAGCGCGTCCAGGCTCTGACTCCACAGTGATGTGCTGGGGCCGGGCTTTTGCGCTCTCGACCTCCGTTTCTACCCTGCGGAAGACGACGGCTGTTGTCTGGGTTGCAGGGGTGATGCGGGGGTTCTCCTGCTCATGGTGGCCCTCAGTGCACTGAGGTCGGTGTCTGCTTGTCCAGGGCTGGACGGTTAATGGTTATGAACAAGGGATGTGAGGCCAGCGTCCCTGCACCGGGCCTCCTTCCTGCATTGCCCGGGACAGTCAGGGTGGGATTGGCTCTGCCCCGTGTCACGCATCCTGGGAGCCTCACGTGCCCGCCCCCCCATCTCCAGCCCCAGACCCCACACCTGGAGGAGGACTTGAAGGAGGTGCTGCGCTCCGAGGCCGGCATCGAGCTCATCATCGAGGACGAAGTGAGGCCCGAGAAGCACAAGCGGAAGCCTGGGGTGAGTGGCCGGGGGCGGGGCCCTCTTGCTGCCAGCCTGGGTCACGTGGGCAGGAGCCGTGCGTGGGAGGTGGGTCTGGGGACAGCTGGTGAAAGTGAGGCGTGGGGGAAGTGGAACTGTGGCCCCAGACCCTTGCTCCCCCCAAAGTGGTTATCCATGAAACCCGCAAAGGGGAGGCCTTGGTGCCTGGGCCCCTCCCCTCCTCTGAACTGTCCCTTAGCTTTTCAGCGTTGTGTTTGGGCCCTTCCGGGGTGGGCTGTGGGCTGGGTGGGGTGCATAGAGCATCGATGAAGACCCAGATGGGGTCACTCCCCAGAGCTCAGTGGGTAGAGACGCACTGGTGACTCTCAGTACACTGCTTAAGGACGTAGAAAGGGACACAGGATTCCAAGTGAAAACCTTCAGGTGGAGCCAGTCAGGTGTCTGGCCGCTTGAGGCAGGTGGGGGCTGTCAATTCAGGTAAGGTGGAGAGCTGGCAGGGACACTGAGCAGGAACACCTGGGCACAGGACGGCAGGGGCTGACTCAGGCCGGCCTCTCCTCTGTTGCCCTTTGGAGTCCCCCGATAGCAGGCAGACATCGTGTCCCCTTTTTCTTTGCCCCCCCATTCCTGGAGGCTCCCTGGAGAGAGGCAGGAAAACGGGGATGTGCCCAGGTGGCGGGTGGAGGTTATGGGGGGCAGGTGGGCAGTCAGGCTGGGAGGGGCCCATGGGCCTGGGGCTCCTGGCTGTGTAGGGAGCGAGAACTTGACCCCAGGCCTTGCTGGGCCTCTCCTCTGTGTTGGACGGTGGTTCTGAGCTGTGGCAGCACCTGTGTGGGGCACACTGCTGGGTTGGGGGGTGAGTGTTGGTCCCAGACCCCCTTCCTGGAGCCGGCCCCTGAACCCTGACCTGCGCATAGCGGCCGAGGCATTCCTGTCACAGGTGGTGGTGGTGGGCCTGGGTCCCGTGGAGTTTACGTCTCCATGTTACTGCCTGTGGGTGAGGGTTTTAGTTGTAACTTAGATGATTATCTTCGGGGCCTGTTAGGGGGGAGTATTTGAGACCTGGGGGCTGTCCTTGGGGACATCCATTTGGGGATGAGGAGCAGGGGTCTGGGTGGTGGTTGGCGTTTGTGTCCTGGCTTCCTGGTGCAGCATCTGCCATGACCGTCGCCTCTGGGTGCAGAGTCTGACAGGGCCAAGGCCTCCTGGTCTCCCCGGCCCTCCTCTCCGCATCCCCACTGGCATATCCGTGCCATGCGGGCCTGGCTCAGAGACGCCCCTGCAGTCGGCTCGGTTCTCTGAGAGGGCAGCGGGGGCCCCTCGAGAACCCCCAACCCTGCCCTGACCGCCTCCTTCCCCCCGCCCCACAGCTTCGGCGGAGCCCCATCAAGAAAGTCCGCAAGTCCCTGGCTCTCGACATCGTGGACGAGGACGGGAAGCTGATGATGTCCACGCTGCCCAAGGCTCTGTCCTTGGTAAGGGGTCAGAGAGATGCTTCTGGGGGCCCCCACCCCAGAGCTGCAGAGGCTCTTCTGCCCCAGGGAGGAAGGACTCCCTCTGGAGGCCTCTGCCTTGGGGACCCTTCAGCTGTGGGGAGGACCTGGAGGTGGGGCGGCCTGGTGGTCCTCAGGACCGAGCTCAGCAGGGAGGGCAGGCACCCACCGTGGCTCCAGTCAGAGCGGCTCTGCCCCGCCTTTGCAGAAAGTTCTATTAGGCAGGATTATATTATTTACTGGAACACGTTTGAAGACCATAGATCTGGGCCCCCAGCCCCTCCTTGTGCATCCTGCTCATGGGGGTGACCCCAAAGAGGGTCGATGGTGTGTGTCAGGGCACAGCCAGAGGGTTCAGGCACATCAGCCCCTGCGATGGGGTGCTGTTCAGTTTCCAGACTGACCTCAGACTGGGTCCCCAGAAACCAGGCCACAACGTGGATCCCTCGAAGCTGACAAGAGCGAGCCTGTCTTGCTCTGGTGCCCAGTGGGAGGTAGCGAGAGATGTGGTAGGGGTCACGAGAAAACAGATTTCCTGCCCAGATCTTAGCAGCTCCACTTCCTGCACCCACAGTTCCTTGTAAAGCACTGGTCCGCGATGCCTGCCAGGCTGGGACTTAGTGCTCTCACATTAGACATGCAGCTAGCATTGCATCAGGCACGTAAAATAATAGCCGGAAAGAACAAGATTATGGCAAGTGGTTAAGAGCACAGGAGTTGGAGGGTGTGGGCTTGGGTTAAGTCTTAACACCAGCACTTGCTCTCTGGGATCTGAGCCTCCGGTTCCTGCCTGTGATAAGAGCACCGAGCCAGCAGACTGTCAGGAGATGAAGGCCGAGCAGAGCAGGGAGGCTGGACAGGCCCGGGATGTTTTGTGCAGCTCCAGCCCTGCTCCTGGGCATTTCTGGTCCCAGGAGAAACCACCCTCGTCTCGGCCGAAGGCTGTAGGGGAGGAGCCAGCTTCATGTGAAAGGACCCAACATTACTGGGCATTTATTAAGTGCCAGGCTCTGAAACGGGCACTTTACAAATATTTTCTTACTTAATCTTCAAATGAATTAACTCCCCATCTGGAAGAGAACCCTGAGGCTTAGAGAAATTCATGTCCTGCTCAAGATCTCAGCAGCCAGGAGAGGGTAGTCCCTGGATGTGACTGCATGTTTTTCCTTCCCACTGAGAGCTTGTGGCAAAATGGTTAGTCTTTGGCTTGTTTTGATTTCAGCCAACACACGTCCCATCAAGCTCCTCCAGCGTCACTCTGCCAGGCACCAAAGAGGACAACAACAGCCTGCTCAACGAGGGCTTCCTGCAGGCCAAGCCTGAAAGGCTGGGGACGGCTCCGAAGCCCCGAAGCCACTTGCCAACACCTGCCCCAGTGAGTGCTGGCCCCGAATGTGGTATCGCCCTTGGGGACTTGCTCTGCTGCCCTTCTCACCTCAGGGCCTTTGCACAGGCTGTTGCCTCTGCCTGAATGAGCACCTGATTAACTTAGGTTTCAGATCTCAGCCTCAGTGCCACTCCCTCAGGGGACCCACACCCTGGAGACCCCACTCCACACAAGCCCCTCTTACGGCACGGGTTTCACGTGTAATTAAGTTATGATCTGGATTTAGTTGCTTAGCACATGCCAGTCCTCGAGGGCGGGGGCTGCCCTGCCTGCTCGCATGTGTGGACCCCTCGCTGCTTCTAACCAGCCTGCATGGCGGTAGCTTTTCCTCAGGGAGGCTGGTGCCACCTGAGGGGCGTGGCTGTGTCTTCTGGTCCAGCGTCCGTTATGTCTGAGGAGGCCCAGAGATGGCTAACTGCCCCAGGGCCACCAGGAAGGTGGAGCGAGCATGACTGGCTTCCAGAGGGAGGGTCATAGACACGCCCCGCCAGGCTCGCTGGGAGCACACCGCCCCCTTCCTGGATGGTAACTCTTGTCTTCTCCCAGATGACCAGCGCCTGGAAGACAGTGGCCTGTGGGGGGACCAGGGACCAACTCTTCATGCAGGAGAAAGCCCGGCAGCTTCTGGGCCGCGGGAAGCCCAGCCACACATCTCGGACCCTCATCTTGTCCTGAGGGGCTTGGCGGCCACGAGCCCATTCTCATGTTTACAGGGGGCTGGGGGACCAAGACTGGTCTGAATTTGAGAATCACACTCAGGTGACCACCTGTAGGGAGCCGCCTGCCGCCAGCCCCTCCCCAGATTGCTCAGGTGGAGTCGGCAGGGCCACCACTGTCCTGTCTCATGCAGCTGCGGCTGTTCCTGGTGCTAACAGAATCAAGTCCCACTCCTGGCTCTGCCTGGTCTTGCTCCCAGGGCCACGTGAGCTGTTCCCAAGCCCTGGTCAGGCCCGGCCTCATCTCATACTCCTGCTTAGGACAGGGCATGTGGCCAACGGGTTCCTTCATCATGTTCGTATATTTTCTTGGATGAATAAAAGGACCTTTTTCCTTGTGTTACTCTGGACTCCACCTTCCTTTCTTCTGGGTCCTGATGGTGGTTCCCTGGTGACTGTCCTTGGGGCCCCAAGGGTTGTGGGGACCTCCCCTCATCCTGGGAGCATCCTTGTGTGCTCAGCACAGGCCTGGGGCTCTGGATGTCCTCCCCCCTCCCCCCCCCCCGCCCCCTCCAAGGCCTGGTGTGCTGGGGTTAGTTTCATCTTTGCACCCAGGGGGCGTCTCGCAGAGCTGTGATGACTTTGGCTGTTGGGTAGGGGTGGGTGCGTGGAACATAGGGCCTTGTTTGGCCCTTGCTGTGGGTGGTTGACCTGGCCTGCAGTGAACCCAGTCCCCAGGCAGACTGGTAAACGAGACGTGATGGGCAGCTGAGCAGAACCTGGCCACAGTGGCCCTAACTTCTCAAGGCCATGGCAGCAGGTACAGCCTGGGCTGTAGACCGCCCTGGTCATAGCCCAGTGGGCAGACTGGACTTGGTTGATAGTGGGAAGAGTCACTGGATTGAAGAGGGGCAGGTGCTAGGTCTGAGAAGGTCTAGATCAGGGAGTGATGTTTCCAGTAGGGATTTGTGAGGTGGCCATCCTTGGGGACAGGTCTCAGCTCACCACAGGACAGGCACCACTTAGAGTGGGTACTTTCCTAGGGATGGCAGCTGGGCATTTGGTGACTAATATGGCCTGGAGGTGAAGGTGAGAGGGTTAGAGGCATAGAGCCTGTGGGAGGTTATTCCAGAAGTGGCCCCAACAAATCACTGCTCCCTGCAGCTATACCCTTGAGTAGGTCACGTGATTTGCTTTGTGCAATGGTTATGCCACGATTGCCATGTAAGGGACTGACTGGAAGAGCCTCCTGAAGGCGAGAGTCCCCAGCTGTTCTAGCTGATTGCCAACATGAGTGAGGCTGTCCTAAGCCTCAGCCATCTATCCATCCAGAACTGCCCAGCTGACCACAGACTCATGAGAAATAATAAATCAGGGTTGTTGTAAGCCACTACGTTTTGGGGTGGTTTGTTATGCAGCAGAAGCTAACTTAAAACATGCTTCCATAGGCAACTGGCAGTGGTGGGTACTTGCATAGTCCAGGATAAATGGGTCAGGTGTCGGTGGTCCTCAGTGGGGGGAGGATAGGTACTGGGGGCAGGGGGAGGCCATAGCCGATGCTCAAGCCTGGATTGGGTCAGCACAAGGGCCAGGGAGCGGCTTGACAATGAGCAGCTCACCTCCAATCTTGAACTCAACGGAAGGAAATGGGTTTGAGACCAAGCCGGGCCCCCTTGGTGGGGTTGGGGGGTGGGGGTGGGTCTGGGAGGTAAAGACATTCAAGCTGTGGGAACATGTTTAGGGACGGGGCATTTGTTATAAAGTTTGAGATATGTAGTAAACATTTTATGAGGTTTTTGTTTTTTTTTAAGCTGAGCCATCCTGCCACCTGTTGGCAGCTCAGCAGCAGCTCAGCTCGGGCTGGACTCAAACCGCTGTTGCTCAGAGCTCAAACTCTTGAGCGAGCTCTTAACCAACTGAGCCATTCGGCCGGCCCAGGGCTCGCACTCTTGAGCGAGCTTTTAACCAACTGAGCCACTCGGTCGGCCCTAGTAAACATTTTACATTTTTATATAATCCCTTTAATAAGGCAAATTGTTTTCTAGGATGCTTTTATTAATATTTGTCTATTTTTTTAATTAGAAAAGATCCTGCTTTGGGATATATACCCAGAAGTGGAGTTAATGGATCATATGGTAATCCTATTTTTTATTTTAATTCTGTTGGGTTTCAATTAGGTTTGTAGTATTTTCAGGAAAAGTTGTCTTCTGGGCTAGTAAAGTCTTTGCAATGATGGTGCAACTCTGTCGCCACCTGGTGGTCTTTGGTGTGTGTGCAGTCTCAGGTAAAGCAGGCTTGAGCCATTTTTTGAAGATCTGGGAAGGTCCTTGAAGCGGTTTTCTGATTTTCAGGCCCCTTCTTTGGCATCCTCATCAAGCAGGTGTCTGACCTTTGTTTGGACGCCGCCACTGATGGGGAGGAGTGACTCTATTCCTCGTCAGCCAGCTCCATTGTTGGACAGCAAATTGTGAAGAAATTTATTCTCTATCCAGAGAAAAATATTCTCCCCTTTGTTGTATCTAAAGCAAAAGGAATAGACTATGGTACATGGGAAGCTGGTTTGTGGGGAAATTGGGGTCCCAGAACAGGCAGTCGGCAGGTCGGGATTCGTGTGAGAGCCTGACTGCCTACATGAGCCATTTTCCCAGCGGACCCTGGCAGGAATCAATTCTGTGTTCTTGCTTGTTTCCAGAGACCACCATGGCTCTGATTTAGCCATGATAGTGATTTAACCCCTTCTAAGATGGATGTTATGTTCCCACCTTTGGCTAGATGTGTTTGCAAATAATTCAAGCTGAGTTTGGATATGAGCTGAGAATCAAACATCACTGATACAGGCCAGCAAGCTCAGGATGAAGGCGTTTTACTTGTATATTACGTAGGGCTGACCAGTCGGTATTTAGGTTAAAGTCTATAATGGTTGGGACAGTCTGGCAAGGATAGGTCCAGAGTCTGAGTCTCAAATGCCCTTCAGAAAGGCACAGTTGAGAGGATGTCTGGCCCCTCTCTGAGTCCCTGGACCCTGTCCAGAGTACCCAAGTATAAGCACCCTGTAGGTACTTAGTAAGGACCAGAGGAGTCAGGAAGGCTTTGGCATTTATATATATAAAGATTTTATTGGGGAATTGGGGGAAGGGGAACAGAGGAACAGACAAGCTGCTGTCTTTTTGTTCTTCAGTCTAGTTGTGGAAGACATCACTTCACTGGCCCCTGTTGGTATTATTGCGCTCTTCCGGGTGAGGCAGTCGCTTGCTGACCATTGTATGGCTGCTCATGCTGGCTGCCAGCCACTCACAGTAGCTCACAGCAGCCCACTGCAGCAGGGGCTGCAGCTCACAGCAGCCCATCTCCAGGTTGAGCTGTTGTTCACCATCTTAGCTGTAGAGGGCGCAGCATCACTGGCCCTCATGTGGGATCCGAACCAGGGCCCTGTTGCTCAGAGCTGGCGTCCCAAGCCAACTATTAACCAACGCGCCACTCGGCCGGCCTGGCTTTGACATATTTTAATGTTGGTTTCCAGCTTAATTCTCCTGTGTTCAGGGAACACGGTCTGTGTGGTTTCAGATCTTTGAAATTTATTGCTTTATGATTGAGCATAAAGCAAGAAATTTTGAAAATTTGTTCCACATGCATCTGAAAAAAAAACGTGTAGCCTGTAAGCCCTGGGGACAATGTCCCATTTTTATCATGCTAATCCTATTGTCCAAATATCCAATATTCTGTTTTTTTTGTGTTGTCTGCTTCCTTTTGTGGACCTAGATTAACCAACCCCCAAATGACATACAATAATAATGTTGTTTGAAGCCAGTGAATGTTGGGGTTGTTTGTTACTCAGCGTTATTGTGGAAATAACTAGCTGATACAGAAGGTACCCTTGCATCTACAAAAAAAGCCCTGAGGAAAATGAACAATGCACCTTGAGCTCAACAGGCTGAAGGAAGAATTTTCTAGATTCAGAACTTGGCTGGAAATGAGTGGGATGAGAGATTCTGGAATCCAGAGCCATTGTGACTATGCCTGTGTCTTGATTGTTCCCTAGGACACCCGGCAAGCTTTCCATGGCTCTCCTGGTAGCTGTAGGTGCACAAAGCTCTGACTTTGGATCAGGCAGACGTGGATGTGAGTCCTGGTTTGGCTGTTACTAGTTATCTCTCTTTTCTGCTGTGAGCCTTGGGGTCCTCTGCTGTGAAATGAGAATCCTTAACCTTTCAGAGTAGTTGAAGGGATTGGAGAGAAACTTGGCACACACTTGGGCCTCAGAAAATACGGGCTCTTATGATGTTACCATCAAATGCTCTCTTATTCCTTTTTTATGCACGATAAACCCTGCAAAGGAGACGTCAGTGGCCACGTTACAGTTGAGAGCTCCGAGCGGAAATTACTGGATAGTAGTCAAGTCAGGACTTGAACTCAGCCTTTGTTGTGAAGGCTGCATTGTAAACATCTATTTCGTAGTTCAGCCTGTGTGGTGCGGTAGAAAAAGCAAAAGCATTAGGTGTAGGGTCCATTTTTAAAGACTTTCCATGGACGTTCAACACAAATCTCAGGTGAACGCCAGGATGAATTTTCACAAAGTGAACACACTCATGTGACCAGCACCCAGATCAAGAGATAAAAAGTGACCAGCACTCCGGAGACCCCCCCTCTGCACCCCATCAAGGGTAACCACCATCCTGAGCTCAAACACCACAGATTTCTTTTGCCTGTTTTTTTTTGTTGTTGTTTGTTTGTTTTAAAGATTTTATTAGGGAATTGGGGAAGGGGAACAGGGTTGGGGAATTGGGGAAGGGGAACAGCCAAGTTGTCCTTCAGTCTTAGTTGTGGAGGGTGCAGCTAGCTCAGCTAAGTCCAGTCACCATCCGGCCAGCCGTCGGCAGCTCTGGGCAGCTCAGCTCAAGGTGCCGTGTTCAGTCTTAGTTGCAGGTGGGCATACGTGCCCATGTGGGAGTCAAACCAGCAACCTTGTTAGGAGCACGCCCTCTCGCCAGCTGAGCCATCCTGCCACCTGTTGGCAGCTCAGTGGCAGCTCAGCTTGGGCGCAGCATCACTGACCTATGTGGGAATTGAACCAGTGACCCTGTTGCTCAGAGCTCACACTCTTAACCAACTGAGACACTCAGCTGGCCCCTTGCCTGTTTTTTTAAAAAGTTGTGTAAACTGAATTTCACATTATGTGAGATTTACCGATGTTGATTTGGATAGTTATCATTTATTTCCATGATCACGTAGTGTTCCCTTGCGTGACTTTCCCACAGCCTACCCATTTTCCTGAAGGACATGGAGTGTTTCTGGGTAGGCTGTTGCAAGTAGCACTGTTATGAATGGCTTGTCCTCATCTTTTGGCGAACCCATGTCAAATTAAATTATACATATCTAGGAGTGGAACTACTAGAGATAGGTCCAGGTTCATTAGATCACTTGCCACGTCCTGGTTTTGTGAGCCGAAGCATGTTGGGTAGCTTCTCTGGACTCACTTTTCATATCTGTATATTGGAAATAAAAATACTTGCCCCTCAGTGTTGTGGCCAGGACATAATAAGACACTGTCTGCGAGGCACCTGGCCCCAGTGTGGCTCCCCTTTTTCCTCCTCCCCCTGCTATGCCAGAGCCCCACTGTCCTAGGACACGGCTTTTCTGCGAGGCTTCTCCTCTGCCAGGAATACTCAACATGAACTTGGAAAGCGTGCCCGCTGCCCCGGGCTGGTGGGGCTACCTTTCCCTGGCCATTTGGGCAGCTCTTCTTTGTGATTCCATCACTGGCACCCAGCCCAGCACTCGCTGGCTGTGGTCACTGTCACCGCTAACAAGTGTGTTTCTGGTGGTTCTGGTGAGAGTGTGGCTAGCAGCAGATGTTTTCTGGAGACAGGCCCAGTAGAGGCAAAGAACGAGGACCGAGGAGAGGGGACAGCTGGCTAAGATCCAGCTCAGAAATGTACAGCAGACATTGGTCTTTCCCCCCAGATTTCCAGGCAGGAGTTTTTCGTAAGCCCCTGTATTTCCTTACTCTTCCTGAAACACGCAATGAATGTGAGTGGGCCAAGTTGGGAACCTGCCTACTGGGGGCTCTGTCAAAATAGAGCTGACTTCTGTCATCATGTAATGGCAGCCTGGAGCATTGTGTTGAGAAAGGGGTCTGAAGGTATTGTCCAGGCTCAGGAAGGAGTGCTGTGATTGATTAGTTATGTCTGTTATGTGCACAGAAGGGGTAGTGGTGGCACTCGTTTCGCATATTTACTGCTATCTCTGGCTTAAAGGTATTAGTATTGATCAGAATGGACATGTGTTTGATTTAGAGATGGAATATTTTTAAATAGGTAGTTGAATCCTTTTACATTTCCATGATATATTTGGATTGATTTCTACCGTTTAATTTTGTGTTTTCTCTGTACTATTTCCTCCATCCCCTTTTTTTGGTTGAATTTATAAAGTTTTCTGTAATCTTTTGCTCTCGTCTTCTCTTGCCTGGTTTGGAACATATGAAAAATATTTCTCTTATTTTAGAGACTATTTTTAAACTTCAGATATACACATTTGTTATTCAATGTTTTTATCCTTTTGAACAATGCCCTCCCTAGCCTAGTTTGAACTAGAAGTTTTATCATTTTAAATGGCAGTTGATGATTTTCTCAGTTGATTAAATTTGTTTACAGATTTTCTAAATTTACTTCCTCATCATTGTTTCTCTTACTCCATTACATTTTCTTTCTGTTGAACACCACCACCATCACTACCGGTAGCAGTTAGTGATAGCTGAGGGCTTCCTAAGTATTAGACGCTATCTTAAATCCTAATAATCCTATATGTGTTGAGTCCCTTAATCCTCCACACAATCATAGGAGCTTATCATCCCTACTTTGTGAATGAGGTAACAGAATCACAGAGAGTTCAGGCAGTTGCCTGAGGTCTAGCAGCCAATAAGCTATATGGCTTGAGAGTCCCTCCTTTGCCCATCCTGTCGCCCTTTGCTCTGTGTGCTTAAAGTTTTTATTTCAAAATCATATTTACAGGAAACTTGCAAAGATGGTACAAAGACTTCCCATGTACCCTCCACCTGGCTTTTCCTGATGTTAACATCTTACAAGACCATGGTGCACTTAGTAAAGCTAAGACATCCCCATCGGCACAATACTGCTAACAAAACTACAGACTTTATATGGATTTCACCAGTCTTTCCACTAAAGTCTTTTTCTATTCCAGGATCCAATCCAGGATATCACATTGCATTTTGTGTATGTGTACATTAATTATATATAGTACATGCATATTAATATGTACATATTATATGTGTCTGTGTGTGTGTGTGTATATATATATATATATTTATTTATTTATTTTTATTATGGAAGATTTCAAGTTTATATACAAGTGGAGAGAATAGTAAAATTTGTCCACCCCTCAGCTTCAACGATTAACTCACGACGAATTTGCTTCATTCATACCCCAAACCCAGTGACATTTTCCTTCCCCTGGTCCTCTTGGCCTGTAGTTTGCAGACATATGCCCTCCACATCACTTTATTTCACTGCTTCCTACATGGCAATTCTCTGGTCTGTGCACTTTATTCATCATGACGTTTCGAAGGCCCACACCCAGAACTTTTTTTTTTTTTTCAAGAAGACATCTTTAATCCTTTGTAGAAAGAGCCAAAGGGGTCAGGGGTGACAAAGTTATGATTATTTTTTAAAAAGTTAGCAGTTAAGATTTCCTCCTGAAAAAAATTTTCAAATGACTTAAATCTTTTGCCATTAAAAAAAAAATTTTTTTTTTTTTAAGATTAAAAAATTTTTTTGACCAGATAATGCATGCACATGTGTTCACATTGTAAAAAGTACTAACGGGTCTAGAGAAGAATCTCTCTTCTTGACCCTCAGTCACCTGGGTGCTCTCCCCTGGGGGCAGCTGCTACTTCTTTGGAGTGAATAGATCAGCAAACTTTCTCTCTAAGGGACAGACCAAATATTGTAGGCTTTGTGGGCAGACCTCTGTTCGAGTGTATCCTGGAAGAGAAATTTTATGCAAATTCAAGTACATACCTATACATGTCCCCTCCCCCAACTCCATAAATATGGTGTCGCAGTATACGGTGTGTTCGGGACTTGGCTTCTGTCAGTTAACCTGGGGCTTGGCAAGCTGACCCAAAGGCCATATCCAGCCTGGCACCAGTTTCTGTCGTTTTCTTGGCACCTACGTTCATGTTTATACATTGTCTGAGGCAACTTTCAGGCTACCAAGGCAGACCTGAATACCTGTGACAGATCATATGACACACAAAGCCTAAAATGTTTGCTCTCTGGCCCTTTAGAGAAGAAGTTGGCTGGTCTCTGAGTTAAACAATATGTCTTAGCCATCCCATCTTTAATGCAGAGAGAGCTTCTTCACTCTTTTTCACGGCAGCATACTATTTCATGGTATGGCCGTCCCATCATTCATTTCGTCCAAACCCCCTAAGTGCTTTTGAGGTTGGTTCTGACCTTTGGCTGCTACAGGTTAACGCTGCAGTGAATGACCTTGTACTTACCTCACTTTCCATAGGTGTGGCTCTAGTTACAGGATGAATTCCGAGAAGTGGAAGTGCTCCATTAATGTATAAGCATCAATGATTTTGATACCTATTGTGAAATTGTCCTCCGGGAAGATTTATTAATGTACATGCTCACCAATGTTATAAAAGTGCCCCATGTGCCCTACCTCTGCCGGCAAGATGTTCTTAAGCCTTTTGATCCGTACCAACCTGCCTCGGTGAAGAAAACCCCCAACTCCACCAGTGTAGCTTTCTTTGCATGCCTTTTATTTTGGTGAGTTGCCTTTCCTTTCATGCATCTCGGAGGCCCGGGGCCCCTTTCTGCTGCTGGTAGCTTGCTCTCCTGGTTGGAGGATCTCCTAGGGGGCTGTTCAGGGATGGGGTTGGTCCTCTTTCTCTGACCCTCTTGTGTCGCTTTCACAAATAAGCTTTTGGAGAACAAAAGTCTTCAGAACGAACATGTGGTGGCTGTTGGTGCCATTGACATTCCAGACATTAGGGTTGGGGACCCAGGGGGACACTTCCCTTCTGCTCTGGTCCTTGGAAAGCTAATTTTCACAAGGCTTAAGCTGTCTTCTTCCTCCACTGGGCTTCTGTTGACACAGGTTGCCTCGTGTTCCTCCAGCTTTTTGGTGGGGACCACGTGGCAGGCATTGTATTTGCAGCTGGCCATCTTTTTGGCTTTCTTGGGGTTCCTTTTCCTGCACGATGCCAGGTGGTATTGAAACCTGCTGTGTGGGATGCGGTGGTGAGGGTCGTAAGGGCAGATTTCTAAGGCTTCTGGCTCCATCTCCATGACAAATTGTTCTTGAAGCTGAGCAGCTCACTGCCCAGAGTCAAAATGAAATGCCCCGCATGGAAGAGTCTTTTGGTAAGAAGGATGGACGCTGTCCTCTGCTCAGCGCTGGACCTTGAAACTCAGTAGGTGAAGGTCTTAACGCACGTCCCCTGTTCTCTGAATGAACATGAATGGTGGATGAGGAAAGAGAGAAGAAGCTGTCAGGAGCAGCTGCACAGAGGACAGAATTATCAAATGGCACATGAGCCAGAAGAACTATATAAGGCAGACGGAGTCAAAGAACCACAGCCGCCCCACCTTCATCAGGTGATGAAGGTATGTGCCAGTCCCCCTTGATTCTGAGAGTTATATTGTGTGATGTCAACGGGCAGTCACAGGTGGTCACAATGGCCAGTGTGAGTCATCAGGAAAAGGCTACTTCTCCATCACTTTCAAGAGAAAGGGTAGGTTTGGGGAAAGCTGCCATTCAAAATTGTCTGTGGCATGCCTGTTGTCATTTCTCTGTGTTTAAAGTTGTATGTTTAATGTGATTTCTGATATATTTGAGTTTAAATCTACTCTCTTATTTTGTGCTTCCTGACCTACTCTTTGGTTTATTTATTTTTTTCTCTTCCTTTATTTTAAGCAGACAATTGAAAAAAAAACTTTCCATTTTCCCCACTAGTTTGTACGTTATACCTTCTCTTGTCATTGAGAGGTTACTCTATACATGAAAACATTCACAGATAACTTATCAAGGTTTAAAGTTAATAAAAGTTTTACCCTCTTCCTGAATAAAATAGGGCTTTTTCTTCATTTACTCCCCTCCTGACTGATGTTACTCTTCCCTGTATTTTCAGCCTAATTTTTAAAAACTTCACAAGACTATTGCTATTGTCATTTTACATTGTCAAAGTTTGTTTACAGCTGTCCTCATGTTTACTCCTGTCTGCTGCATGCATCTCATATCTACCACATGGGATCATGTGTCTGCTACAAGTTTACTTTTTAGAATTTCCTCTTGGTTTTGTTTGTCCGAAAACATTTGTATTTCACCCTTGTTCTTGAAAGGTCTTTTCACTGAGTATAGTTGTTATTAATATTTTCTTTCTTATTGAAGCAGAGTTCAGTTTCTTCTAGGTTCTACTCTGTGGTTTAGAATTCAGAATTCTACTATTACCTAACTTCCTTTAAAGGTAACCTATTTCGTTTTGTACATCTGTTTTTCAAGACTTTTTCTCTATCTTTAATTTAGTTTTCCTACAATGTCTCTATGAGGTTGAGCAGTGAATCTCTTTTTTATTTGCTTTTCCTTTTTGTTAGACTTCTTGAGTCTGTAGATGAGTGTCTTTCATTAGTTTTGCAAAGTGCTCAGCCATTGTCTGTTCAAAAAGTGTTTCTTACCTTATTTTCTCACTTCCCCTGAAATAATAGCTGTCACTTCCATGGACATTTCAGTGTCCAAAGCGAGTCTTATGGCCACACCTAACTTCAAGGGTCAAGGAGGTACAGTCCTATCATGTTTGCAGAAGTAGGAGAAGAGGAACTTTGTTAAAAGTCTTAAGAACATCCCAGTCTGTCCTTGATGTCACCAGTATTCATTTTCCTTTTCCCCACATGTACAGTGTACTCTGTCCTCCTTGAGAGAGAAAAGCAAATCCTTTAGTCAGAGTTGGGAATAAACGGTTTGGTCAGTGCTTGCTGGGGGCTTCTTGGGTTCTGGCAGGACCTCGCTCTGGACTGGAGGGAATTGCAGTGCCTCCAACCAAACTGTGTCCTGTGAGGAATGAGAGGCCCACAGACTCATGTTCGCTGTGCCCCACCAAACACCCACCCCAGGAATATCTCCTGCTAGACTTTGTCAAGAAGGTGTCCTTGGTAAATTGTAACTTCCATCCCATTTACGTGACAGAGAACTTGTTTTCTCCAAGCTTGCGATCCAGTATTGAAGGAACTATGACATTAGTCCCACTGAGAGTTAACAGCTGGTTCAGCACCGGCTCTTACGTACCCCTGAGGGCTGTCATGTCACCGTGTTTGTTGACAACACTGACAATGCTTTTTTTCTTATTCCAGTCCCATAGCCTTTTTCATGCTCAGGACCAGGGCTGGCCCAGGCTCAGTAACTCAGCCATTTGTAAGTCTGTGAATGGAGATGATAATGAGAGCACTTCATCCATCATTAAAATCCACAAAGTAAGGAATAGGGCATTAGCCGTTGTGGGTTTCTTTGCAGCCAAGCACCCATTAGTGTGGCAGGCCAACATTTAGTCCATTAGGAAGAGAGGGAAGGCCGGGCTTGTTAATGCTTTTAATGGACGTCTTGAATGGTCCTCCAGCCGGCAGCTTTCTCCCAGAATCTGTTCCAAGCCAGGGACCTGACAGGTCGCTCACCATGGCAACACAGTTGGGGGTGGTGCGGACAGGGATGCAGAGAAACCTGTCTGAACGGCACTCCTCAGGACTGTCTGCACGCACATAACCAGTGATGCAAGCGAGGCCAGGCCTGCTTTCCGCTCACGCCCCTCCCACGCGATCGTCTTGAGGGTTGCTGCTGAGGTTGGTAGCACACTCACGGAGAGGACATGGTCACAGAGCGTGCGGAAACAAGGTTTTCTGAAAAGAAACGCTGTGTGTGCGGGCCGGCCAAGCCAGTAATTATCATGATGCGTTAGGATGGAGCTGCCGGAGGGTCAGAGGCCCTGTGAGTCTGAATCCTTCAAGCCTGGAGAGACTTCTGATGGCATCAAGGCCAGCTTCTCATTGAGTGGCCACTGTCCCTGCCAGGGCAGCCCTGGAGGACGGTCATACTATCTCCCCAGGAGGTCCACTGTTAGGTTCTTACACTGGAGTGAGCTGTCCTGTCTCATAACCTGTAGCAGTTAGTCAACTCTGTGCCTTTTCTCCGGACACACCCTCCAGGAAGGAAGGCTCTTCCAAGCATGCCAAACTCCTGCCATGTGTATGTGGCACTGGGGTGGGGGTGACCATCCCATTTCTGGCTCCTTGTGTCTCCTCACATGTCCAGCAGACAGGTGTGGACAGCCGAGGTGGTCCCTCTGAGCCCTTAAGGCCTGGCCCAGGGCCTCCCCACGCTACCCTCTGTGGGCCACTCCTTGTACAGGGCGGCCCTGGTCTCAGCCCATTTGGCTGCTGCTATCCCCTTCAGTTTGAGGAGCTTTTTTGTTGTTGTTTTGTGTTTTTTTGTTTTGGTTTTGGTTTTGGTTTATTTTTAATTGGGGAAGGGGACCAGCCAAGTTGTTGTCCTCCAATCTTAGTTGTGGAGGGCGCAGCTAGCTCAGCTCCAAGTCCAGTTGCGCCACTCAGCTCAAGGTGCTGTGTTCAATTAGTTGCAGGTGGGCATAGCCACCATCCCACGTAGAAGCTGAACCAGCAGCCTTGTTGTTAAGAGTGCACACTTTATCCTCTGAGCCACCCAGGTGGCAGCTCAGTTCAAGGTGCCGAGTTCAGTCTTTAGTTGAGGGCGGGCGTAGCCCACCATCTTGAACAGGCAACCTTGTTGTTAGGAGCACATGCTCTCACCAGCTGAGCCATCCTGCCACCTGTTGGCAGCTCAGTGGCAGCTTAGCTAGAGTGCAGCATTACTGGCCCATGTGGGAATCGAACCAGCGACCCTGTTGCTCAGAGCTCACGCTCTTGAGCAAGCTCTTAACCAACTGAGCCACTCGGCCGGCCCCTTGAGGAGCTTTTGAAAACCCTCCATGTTGTGCTGTGCAGCATGTCTTGCACTGTAACGTGCATGTGAATCACCTGGACTCTTGTTAAGATGCCAGACTGCTCAACGTTTTGGTTTCCTTGGTCAGGTTGATGTCATGGCTGTGCTAGATTTGTAAAATGAATTGGAACACAGTCTATCTTTTTCTGTTTTGAAAGTTAAAAGAAGTTATCTACTCAACTCCCTGACCAACACCTTTTTTGGGGAAATAGTTCTATGTCTGTTTTCAAGTTGGATCCATGGTTTCCTACTTGTCTTGGCAATTCCCATTTTTTCTAGACAAGTGTACCATTCAGAAATGAATTGTGTCCCCCCAAATTTATCTGTTGAAGTCCTAACCCCAATGTGACTGTATTGGAAGTAATTAAGGTTAAAGGAGGCCATAAGGGTGGCCTCTCATCCAACAGGACAGGTGTCCTTATAAGAAGAGGAAGAGACACGGAGATCTCTCGCCACAGCAAAGGCCATGTGAGGACACAGTGAGAAGGCGGCTGTCTGCGAGCCAGGAAGGGAGGTCCCACCAGAAAACAACGCTGCCAGCACCTTGTTCTTGGGTGTCCAGCCTCCAGATCTGTGAGAAAATGAGCCTTTGTTGTTTAAACCACCCAGTCTGTGGTATTTTGTTATGGCAGCCGGAGCCTACGAATACACAGGCATGTTTCCATTGAACACTCATATTAACTAGCACACTATATGTGTTTAGCATTCTCTTTTAATCTGGAAACTCTCCCTTTGCATCTTTGGTTAAGTTTCCTCCACTTTTCTAACGTGTTTTTGTATTCTCTCTCTCTCTCTCTCTCTCTCTCTCTCTCTCT